CTTGCCCAGGGCAGTGCTGAGAAGACTAAGTCCCAGAGGACTGGAGTGGGTGAAGCCCAGGGAGGTAATGACTTCTAAGAAGATGAAGGCCCGAAGTGGTGAAAGTGATCCACCCAAGCTGGAGGACGCGAGGCAGCCGTCCACGTGCCTGTCCATCCATCCAGGCTCCGGCCTGTGCCCTGATTGGGCTCGGGCTTTTGCCGTGACTTTGTGTCCAGTCACAGTGCCTTGCTGATTCTCAATCTCATCACCAAGAATGATGGTCATTCTGAAAGACGCCCAGAGGCTGGAGGTCCTAGTAGGTGTTCTGAACTATAACACCTCTGATGTCTGCATGGCATTCAAGGCTTGGAAAATGATAATGAAGTGGGTCAGGGAAAGTTTTCATGTTTATACTACATGCAGAAAAAAGAGGACAGCGCAGGACCAATTTCTAATGAGGATAAAGGGTTATTTATTCATCATGAATGAGGAGCAAGTTGTTGTCCAGAAGCACAGTTTAGTTTAGTTGTTGTCCAGAAGCACAGTTTAATCATCTTTGTTGCTTATCTGCTGTCTCTGTCATGAATTCACGACCACTTTCAAATGGGGTGGAAATTTCTAGTGTGGCTCATTCATGGGAGTGTTGTAAAGGCCAATGAGTTACGATGCATTTTAAGTTAGTATAACAGAAAGAACAGAACCAGTCAGAGAGTAAGTGCTCAGTAAATACAGTGTCATTACACAGTTTTTCCTCCTCTGTTTATGCCACACATAAATTTGTGTGTGTGTGTGTGTGTGTGTGTGTGTGTGTGTTTTACTGGGAATTGAATGCAGGCCTTGGCACTGAGCTAGATCCCAAGCCCTACAGTTTTCATTTTTTGAAACATAATCTCACTAAGTTGCTAAACTGCCCAGTCTGGGCTAAAATTATAATCCTCCTGCCTCAGCCTCTCAGAACGCTAAGATTACAAGCATGTGCCACCACACCCAGCCCCACACATTTTTTATTACCTACTACATGTGCATGCTGGATATTTGGAGAATAAAATATTTAAGAAAGAGGAAATAGGCATTGCCTTCAAGGCTTTTGGAGTTAGTAAAGGAATAAGAAAATTACAAGAATACCTGGAACACACATGAGCCACATTGTGCCTATCCTAATTGGGTGTCCAGGCCAATGACAAGACAAAGATGAACACCAGAGTGTAAAGGTCTCAGCTCAAATTCCTAAAGGTGGGCAACACAGTGACTCATAGGCAGTTAATGTGAAAGAAACAGTGAGATTGTTTCTCACCTGGGAGGCCTCCTCAGCATTCCCTGAGACAGAGTTGGCATTTCCTCTCTAACCCACATTGCAGCCCCATTCCACTTCTACCTCAGTCTCCACACCTCTAGCACTACCCTACTCCCATTGGCTTACACACCTGTCCCCACCTCCTGCATTCTGTTCACTCAAAGGCAGAGACCTGCGTTCAGAATCCTCAGGGCCAAGATAGTGCCTGGGACGTACTGGCAAGGAGTCAATAAAAAGGCTTGGTGGAGGGAGAACACATCTGATTTAATTGTGTGAGGAAAATGGCAATTGTCTGCAGTGCTGTGTTGTGTTGTTCATCCCAGGTCAGGTCCTAGAAAACACATTCACTTGGGAGAGGCTCGCAAACCTTCCTGCAGGCCACTGGGAGGTCACCTTCAGGGTGGCCCGGATGCATCTTCTTCCTGTTCTTGGAAATTAAAATTATATTTGTGCATTTCTAATCCCCTGCGGTGGACATAGTAAATAAAGCAAAATAAACCAGCATGTGGACCGCAGACCCAAGCCTGGCTTTCCTCATTTGCAAGTCAGCATCACTACAACCTCCTGGGGCCCCCGGGGGTTAAGAGCACTGGATAAGAAGTGCTTCACACTGGGCAGCAGCTCTCATTTTCAACAGCCCCATGATCACTGATTGTAATTTCCTGAGCTCCTTTGTGAGTTCTAGGGTTTATCCAGCTGGGAGATTGGAAGACCTGCTGAGCCATTCTGTACTCTCTTGAGGTGCCCTGACATCACACCTGGTAAAGGGAAAGAATCAAGTACTTGTCTTCTCATTCTTTTAGGAACTCTGCCACTGATCAACCAGGTAATTAATAACTTAAAATCTTTTTTAAAAATGTCTTAGCTAGCTGAGGAAGAAATGATAGATGATCACCAATTTACAACCTCCCATGAGTTGATGGATCTAGGTAACGGTCATCAAGGGCTGCTAACACCTTCAGGTCTCATGGACCTTCTGAAGAAAAATCATAGCTCCCCACTGTGAAACAGTCTCACCAAAACACAAAGGTGGAATTCGAGCCCTCTGGGTACAATCGCCAGTATACAGGAAGTACTTTAAAGCTGGAATGCACAGAAACCTACAGTGTAGGGAACTACAAGACAAAGGTCTGCCACAAAAGGAAACAGGGGGCATAGGCAAAAAACTTCAGATGAACAAATATGAATGAGTGTTATTAACCAATCAGAAGATAGATCTTATTTGCATCCTGATTCTTTTTTACATACATATTTTTAAAGACAATCATTTATGACCTATGACATAATGAGGGAGATCTTATGAATAATCTTAAACCTACATTTCTTCTTAATGATGTACATTTTGCCCTGTTCAACTCCAAAGGACATGGAATTAAAAGAGAAATTAGGCCCGGCACAGTCGTGCATACCTGGCACTGAGGTAGGCAGAAGGCAGCAATCCTAGCACTGAGGGAGGCAGAAGTAGGAGGATCACAAGTTCAATTTCAGTCTGGGCAATTTAGCAACTTAGCGAGACCCTATTTCTAAATAAAAATATGTTTTAAAGGACTGAGGATTTAACTCAGTCATAGAAAGCTCCTGGTGTACAAAACAAACAAACAAACAAACAAACAAGAGAGAAATCAAGTCTTCCCCTAAGCCCTGAAGGGCCTAGGTCAGATGTGCAAATAACCCACTTACCATGTGTTTAAATATCTAGTAGTTAAACAATATCTCAGCTCTGATAAGCCCCTCCCCAAAATAAAAGCAAGCTAGAGCCTGGATAAGGGTAGGCATTCAGATTGCTGATTTGGGAACCGCTTTAAGGGAGATGGGGTCTTGGAAGAAGGCAAAAGTAAAGAAAAGGAAGCAAACCCAAAGTACGTCATCAAATATACACCACTCTCCTCAGCTAGGGTTTCCCAAGGAGCCTATACTATGCATCTTAGAAGGGAGAGAACACACACATTGTGGGTGGGATATGAAATGTCCTCCAAAGGGTCTCGTGTGGAAGGCTTGGTGCAGCATGTTCGGAGATGGGGTTTGGGGACTAGATCATGGGGGCTCTGGTCCATTGGACCCAATGGATTAATCCACTGATGGATCATAGCTGCATGGACTATTAGGAGGTAATGGAGCATGTAGGGGGTGGGGCCTAGTTGGAAGAAGTGCATCATGGGGAAGTGGCCTGGAAGGGCATCTCTTGTCCCTGGCCCTTCTTTGCTTCTTTGCTCTCTTTGTTTCCTGGCTGCCTTGAGATGAGCAGCCATGCTCCACCACGCCTATTCACCATGATGCTGCCTCACCACAAGCAGCAACAATGGAGCCAGACAACCATGGACTGAAATCTCTGAAACTGTGAGCAAAACACACCTTTACTCCTTTAGGTTGTTTTCCTCAGCTATTTTGTCACAGTGGCAAAAGGCTGATTAATACAACACCCTCTGAGTTCTGCTTCATCTAGTTGAGGGGGGTTGCCTGAAGGGTGCTAACTCTCTAGCACTTCTAGGGGTGCACTTATGTCAGAACAGCCAGTGTCATTTGAGCACATTACCCTGGGGGACAGGGAGGCACCAAAGCAGAGGGTGAACAATCCTTAGAAGAGCTAATGCAAGGAGCAGGGTGCTACAGGATTACCCAGGATTAATTTATTGCCATAGCAATAGGTGGACTGGAAGATGGCCAGGAAGCATGGACCAAGCTAGAACACTGTTAAATCAAACACACCCCACCCTCCTGTTGTGACAAACATATCTCATAGTGACCTTGGCAGACTTAAACTATCTCAAGCAACGGAGATGGGTCAGGATCCAACTGAACCAACAGCTGCACCTGAGTGACTTGGGATGCGAGGACTGAGGACTGTGGAGAGCAGGGCCCCCAAGGGGCTGCTCTAGGGCAGTGCCCCAACTTCCTTACACTGACCTCCCTCTAGATGTGGAATTAACTTGGTCCTGGAGTGAGCCATTGTATAGAAATTGCCATCTTTCTCTGGAGTGGTCACTACTGACATTTGACACGTAAGCCACGTGGCCGCTCCAGAGAGCCTTGCAAGGTTATTTTAAGGAAAACATTCTCATAAGTTATTTTCCAGTGGGAAGAGGTGTCTGGAAGTCACACAGCTGGCCAGTCACACCAGCCCTGCCCGAGTGTCAGCTCCCTTTCTCCTCAACCTTAGGGACACCTTGCAGGGTTTGTTGAAAGGACAGCATTCAGGGTCAGGTTTCCGGCACAAAGAAAGGGCCGCACTATTAAGTTTTATCTATTGGACAAGCTATCTACTGGGCATCTCAGAGTCTCAACTTGGCCATCTATAAATAAGAGAAATGTCACAAATGCCTTATGAGGCTACTGTGGGGATTAAAGGAGATAAAGTATAATGCGGTTTAGCATCTTTTGTAAAGGTTTTCTGAATGTCAGTATTGTTACTTATTTTTTCACACTTTGTTTTAAAACAGAATTCAGGAGAGCTACCGAATGTGCCAAATTATAAGATTAAAAGTTAGGAAATGAGCCTGGGCAGGGTGATGCTGGCCTGTGATACAGCTACTCAACAGGCTGAGGCAGGAGGATGGCAAGTTTGAGTCTGGCCTCCACAGCTTAGCAAGAGCCTGCTTGAGAATAAGAAAATAAAAAGGTGCTGGGGATGCACCTCAGCACTCCCTAGACTCATACCCTAGTACCTCCAGGTACTGGCTTCCTTACCTCAGGTATCTGCTTGGCTATTCCTTTTAGCACTGAACTCTGGACAGCTCCTGAGCATGGCCTCATGAGCAAAAGTGAGTGAGAATCCCAGAGACAGGAGACCGAAATTCAGCTGGTGAGAACTAAGGGAGGGTGTGGAGGAGGGCGTGTGGGCCAGAGCTTGCTTGGGGGGACCACGTGGAACAGCCTTTGTCCACGAGGACCTGGGTTTGCGTCACCTCCCTGTCCTGACCGTGCCTCTGCTTTGTGCTCATGTTTTAGCCACCCCCTGAGGGTGAATGTGAAAGGAGAGAAGATGGCCAAGGTCAGCACCCAATACTCCCACCCTTCCTTGACCAGAGCGAGGAGCACAGACAGCGATCTTGATCATACTGAAAATGACCTCAGCAGGTAAGGCGGGACTTTTGTTGTGTGCCTGTCACAGGTTAACTCCTGAGCAGATCTAGACTGTGGGGGAAGACTGCCTTAGCATTGGCCAGCCACAGATAGGTGGCCAGGGTGGTCACCCCATTGCTGCAGAAAAAACTACTGTAGAAATATCTCCAGGCTGCTACACTTTGCCCTATACACCTAAAAAATGTCTGAACTCTCTCTACGCCAGCCCCTGCCCTGGGCACTAAGGATGTAGTATAAGCCATGCCCTTCACTTCCAGGACAGCACCAGGGTTCAGCATGCTCATGAGCCTGTATGGGGAATGGGCAGTCTTTGCCAGCCAAGCCATTAGCCTTATTGCTGACATCCTGATTAGGGCAGCCATATGGAAATAAGGGGCCTTGAATGCCACTTCTAAGTTACTAACTTTATCTTCCTCCACCTCAGTTTCCTCACCTGTGAAATGGAATAGCATTCTTTCCTCAGCTCCTGGTGTGATGGTAAGGACACAAGAGATTATCCATGTAGTGTACATGGACCCACACTTTTATGAATCTTAAATTCTCAATGAGACAATTGAGTTGAACCATGAGAAACTTTCTTTCCAACACAATGTTGTTATATAGAACTGAAATTTTCTCCCTGCTACAAAGTGTAAATTGATATTACCTGAAGGTTACAAAATGCAGTGACAGCCCTACACCCCCACACTCCTCATGACCCATGTCTCCTCAATCACCTGCAGGCAGCACTTCCGTTCTCAGTGCACATCTGTCTTCTCTGCCTGTCTAGGTTCCCGGTCCCAGCACCTCCGCAAACACTGCTAATAAAGGATGGTCAACAGTCCCAAAGAGGTCGAGTCCCCATTACTGCAAATTTATGCAGCCCTTGCACCCCACCTTCTGAGATTCAGGCCAAGGAAAGAAAATCTCAGAGCAGCCAACCCATATTTATTTCCTCCAACCATTATAAACTGGGGCTGGGACCGTAGGAAGGTGCCCGTGACTTCAGAGGCATCAGAAAATCCCATCCTACCTACCGAAACATGCTCCTCTAACTGGCCTTTTGTAATTGCCTGTGGTCTGCTGCTGGGGACGAGTTCCTGTAGGCTAAAGCATCACCTCTTACTTAAAAGAAAAGAAAAAAGACACTGTTAGAACATGTACCTCTGCTAAAACTTCAGTATGCCTTAATGGTCTCTTCCCCATAATGGCTACCAAAGGCCCTTGGAGAAGAACTTTGACCAGAGTGTTGGGTATCAGGGCAGAAAGGGCCCCAGCTCAGGCACAGCAGTGATGCCAGGCTTCTGGACTCGGGCCCAGTGGGAGAAGCACAAAAGCCGCCAGGGCCAGGGTTCTCTCAAGCCAAATGGACCCTTCTCCCTTGTCCCCTTTTACCTGGAGGAGCAGGAGTGAAGCTCTTGGGGGAGCATCCAGATTCCCTCGGGCAGAGAAGGCAGCAAGCAGAGATATGGTGTTTGGACAAAACACATCTTTGCCTTGAAATTCTTGCCATTAAAAAAAAGAAGAGTTGGGGTCTGTAATCCCAGCACTCTAGAGGCTGAAGCAGGAGGATTGTGAGTTCAAGGGCAGACTGGGCTACTTAGTGGAACCCTATCTCAAACAACAAAAACTAAGATAGGAGGCAAGGAAGATGGGAAGGAAAAAAGGAAGGAGGGAAGGAAGGCAGGAAGGCAGGCAGGAAGGAAGGAAGGAAGGAAGGAAGAAGGGAAGGAAGGAAGGAAAGAAGGAAAGAAGGAAGGAGAAAAGAAGAGACAAAGAAGAGAAAGAAAAAAAGAAAAAAAAGCTTTGGGGTTAAATAACTGGACTTTGTGACTCTGTGCACTGCACTATCTAATGATGTCAAGAAGCCTGGGGCTGGGGATTTAGCTCAGCGGCACACTGCCTGTCTGGCAAGCGCAAGGTCGTGAGTTCGATTCCCAGTACCGGAAAAACAAACAAACAAAAAAAAGAAGCCAGGGGGCCTCTGCGGTGAGTCCATTTGCTAAGTGTCCCCAGGATGAAGGCGCTGCCATATCCAGGTTCCCTGAGACATTCCTGCCTGCTGCGCACCCATATTCCACCAGATTGGAGGCGCAGTTTTCTTCTTCTCTTTATTAAATCATTGAAGTTATCATCCCAGGGAAAGTCATAAAGAAGGATAAAAATGCTTCCCTTGAATGAGAACATTTTGGACTCTGAAAATACCAGAAATAAAAACATGTTGCTTTAGAGCAATTATCACCCGAGAAAACCCTTTTGAGCTGCTTCTCCCAGGCCAAAGACTGAGAAACGTGTTGGCTTCTGTTGCCTGTTACGAGTGGCCAGTGGCAGCAGATCCCAATCATTCAAGTTCCTCAGAGCTTGAGAAGAGGGAAAGAAAAAGAAAATGTCGTATTCCCTGGCCTGGTGCTGAAAGGTCACCTCAGTTTACTCCTGTGTCCCAAGGTCACCACACAGAGCCACCGGATGCTCTGGAGTGAGAAGTTAATTACCAGCTCCACTTCTCACGGGAGGCTCTGCCTCGCTTGGTGACAGAGGACAAAAGAAACCATCATCTTGCCCACATGAACTCCTCTCTACAAATAAGCTTGGAAGCTGGGCACTCCCTGTCCCTCGAAAGAGGCCTGCATGGTGTGGCGCTGTGCTAGCTGGTCTCCTTCTTGCTGATGCCAGCGTCAGGGGCCTTGAAGCACCTTCACCACCTGCACCCAACCCCGTGCAAGGAGGGGCAGCTCTGGGGGTCCTGGCCTGCTCTGCTCTTCCTACAGAGACCGAGGTCCAGGCAAGGCCGTGCCCCAAGCCTCTCTGCCAGCTACAGGCAGGACAGGGCCTGGCCGCAGACTCGCCTGCCTGTTTCCCTGGAGGCTTCCAGCTCCCCATTCTTGCACTGATTGCCAAAAACGTCTTCCAGTTTTCAGTACCTGTGTCTCCTGAGGGCTCAGACGTCCACTGAGACATTCAGTTCCTCTCTCTTTCCATCTCCGATCCACCTGCTTCATGAGGTCAGTTTCCCCGAGAGCTAACTATAGTCATGCACTACTTAGCGATAGGGACACTTTCTAAGAAATCCATTGCTAGACGATTTCATCATCGTACGATCAGTGCAAGACATGAGTAAGTGATAGGAATTTTTCAGCTCCATTATAGTCTTATGAGACCACTGTCACACGTGTGGTCCTTTCGTGACTGAAATGACTTTATGTGGGGCATGGCTGTAATTGGGTTTCATCTATAAATACCTCCAAGCATTCCACAAAAGTAAGACTGAAGCTCAATAAAAACATTGATTTGGCAGAATTTCAGGACATAACACACAATTATGCAGATGACACACAGGGAAGAAAAAGCCTCCTTATGCCCTTTTGGAGACCACTATAAAGCGGCTTGGAGCTGGATTTAATATTAACCAATTGGCTTTCTGTGTTTATTTGTGAGTTGTCTGAAGCTTAGGCACCTCGTTTAAAGAGGAGCAGCAGACTCATAGCGAGTGAACCTCTGAGTCTCTGGCCACCCTGAGGCCTGTATTGGCCTGTGAAGCTCTGACTCCTCAAAGGACAAGATAAGGCCACAGCTGAGGACCTCTGGCTCCAACCCCAATTAACTAAAAGGAGACTGCAGCTGCAGGCGCCACACTCCTACAAGAAATACCAACCTAAAGATAAGGTAGTTCTCCTGATTGACATAATTTACTACTTGGGAAAATTCTCCCAAGGTCCTGTGAGATTCCCATATTTTCTTGGGTATCTTCCTCCTTTGTTTGAAAACCAAATAAATATGGGCCACCCAGAGAAGTCTTTGTCTAAACTCAGAGAATGTCAAAACTGTAAGAGAGTTAGTCCCTCCTGGAGCCCTGAAATCATTTCCACTGTCTCATTTATTTAAGCATCTGGAAGATGCCTGGGAGATTGCGGGCCTGATCAGCCCACAATAACAAGAGTTATTTAACCAGGTACTGTCCCTTGGACTTATGTCATAGAAGGCGCTCCCTGTCCTTCAGGGCTAAGTGTTCCTCTCTGGGACTGGTGTTTGAACAATGCTGAGATCAAGTTAAACTGTCCATGTCTTCCTTACTGCCTTATGAAGGTCAGCATGCTTCAGTTCTCAGGGTAGAGTGATCCGGCCACTGGCCCAGCTGGGGAGCTGGCAGGTGCTGGAGTAGGGATTCAAACTCAGGCCTCCGGGCTCCCCGCTGCTGCGCCCCTGTGATTGTCACGTGATCTCACACAGTGGCTGGCGCCACTGCCAGCCACAGGTGTGCTTTGGAATCGGAGCGGGTCTTGCCCTCCTCGTCTGCACGCCGTCTTCAATGCCGTGAACGCTGGTTCCTTCGCTGCGAACTCAATCTGGTGTCAGGATGCACCCTCCTGTGAGGACGAGGAACCAGAATAGACAGAAGTGCTGGGCCCTGGTGGGGACTGGACACCTCCATCCTCGGGATGGGCTCTGGGTCTCCCAGGCACACACAGTGTAACGGAGTCCCAGCCCAACGGTCAGCTGCCACCAGCAGCCTCGCCGTGGCCAGTTGCTGAGATCCAAGGGCTGAAGGGATGGACTCATTCATCCCCCCGCCACCTCCTCCTGTATCTGACCTCGGTCCCTTGAAATGCACATCCCACCTCTGAGGTACAGAACATTAGGCGCGCGTAGCAATTGGAGCTTCCCGATGCAGCAGGACCCCCCACGGGTCTCTTACGTATTCACAAATGAGATGGGGGTCATCCCTTAAGGCTGTGAGGGAAGAAGTCCATCAGCTGCTCTGGAAATACACAGACATGACCACACTGTGTGGCCACACGGATCAGAATGATAGCTCCGCTCTCATGCCGCATGGCCCACTCCTCAGCCCTGTCCGATTAGCCTTTGTTTCAATCTGTACTATATCTGAGAATACAAAGGACAGTTTCACGGAGTGGATGGGAGCAGGTTTCGAAATGCGATGGAATTTCACTGAAGTCTCAGCTGTGCCATCCCACCCTGCGACCCCGGGGAAGTTAGTCAACCTCTCCGGACTCCCATGTCTTCTCTTACGGGGTTGTGGTGCATGGGCTGGGTGGTAATATGTATGCAGCTGCCGTACATTAGCCATCAGTGAATGGCGCGTGATCGAGACGGTGCCGGGAGGAAAGGCAAGTGTGACTGTTCTCCATCCCATGCTTCTCACGGCATCAGCGAACGAGGGTTAACGGGAAGCCCGGCTCTCACTTCTGAAAATTCAGTCGCCCTTGCACAAGTTCAAGCCAAATGCTTCAGCAGCAGCTCTGTGGTAAGACTTCGGGGTCTGGACCGTTGGTAGCTGGCGACCACCAAAACCAGCGACGACTTCCTGGCTTGTCCCCAGCGACAGCAAGGGGCCTCCATGTCGCTGTCCAGCCTAGCAAGAGCTCAGGGATCTGCTCCCAGGAGAACGGCTGTGCCGAGGAAGAAACTTGAATCCCAGGCTCAATGGCTGGGTGAGCGGGCGGCTGGCCTGGAAAACCAGATGTGGCACGGGTCCCTGTCACTGAAGGTGGTCTCACGGAAGGTGAAGCTGCCGGTTCCGCATGGTTCCTGCAGCCCTGCTGTGGGAAGGAGGTTCCCACTGGCAGCCAGGGCTGTCCAAAGGTGACCCGGGCAGGGCAGGGGATGGCAGCGGGCTCCTGCTGTGGAGATGGCAGCGCTGCTGTTGAAAGGAGGCAGCAGCTCAGCACCTGGGATTCAAGGACTCTGGCTTCTAATCACTCAGTGGGAGATGCCGGAGCTTTGCTCGAACGTTAATTCTTGCCTCTTGCTTCAACCACGTTGTTAAGAAAGCTGATTAGGCTAGAATAGGCCGCCTGCTGGAATTAATTTGCCTTCCCCGGGCTCCTCAGGCCTTGCAGAGTGAAGTGCAAATCCCCAGGGGCTGATGCCAGGCTGGCTTTTCATCAAGCTGATCAAGTTCTGCCTTAGGAGGTTTTAAAAGAAAGGCAGCAACTCCCAAACGTGCTGCTGGTCTTATTCCAGGCAGCTCCACGGGCACCAGGGTCTCTCCTGCTGTCACCCCTGTCCTAGCTATGCACGTGCTTTTGGCCTCTACTTGCATGGGTGAGGTCACTGCCCTTTCCCTCTGCTTTGCAGGAGACAGAGGTGAGGGTTCTGCATCTGAAAGCATTCATCCCAGAAAATAATCATACTGTGCCTAGAGGGCTAGGCCCATTCCAGGCAGGGATGCGGGGTCCTCCCCTTAGCCAGAGGGCTGCAGAGGGCAGCCGGACAAGCATATGGAATGGCCCAGGAAGTGGGACCGTAGCACACCCGCAGTGGGACGGAGGCTGGGGCAGGCTTCCAGGAGGAGGCAGCCAATTGAGCGTGGGTAGGATTTCCAGCAGGCAAAAATGTGCTGGGTCAAAATCTATACCCTGGACTGCTGCTGTGGAAATAGTTGCTAGAGCTCAAGATGTCAGATACTGGAAGCCCCCACCCTCACTCACGCTCCAGTAGGGACCACGTCAACCTTTGCTGCTCGTTTCCTCTGCCATGGACAGTGGCTAGACACAAGCTGCCTTCCTTGGTCAGGCTCACCATGAAGGAAGGGTCACAGAGCCAGGCAGGATGGTACATACCTGTAATCCTTGTACTCTGAGAGGCTGAGGCAGGAGGATCAAAAAGTCAAGCCCAACATGGGCAACTTTATGAGATCTTGTCTCAAAAGATTTCAAGATGGTGTGAAGTAGCTGGGGACATAGCTCAATGCAAAGACCCTGGGTTCGATCCCCTGTGCCACACAAAAAGGGTTACATTTACCCCAACAGTCTGGGCCTACTGGAACTGCACGTCAGTGGGGCCCCTGACTTGAGGATCCGTGGCAGCTGGTTCCCTCAGAAGCAGGGCATCAGTCCGTCTCACTCCTGATTGTGTTCAGGAGGTGGATGAGCTTGAAATCAATTTCGCATGCTGCACATTGGATTTCCCAGGGTCTGCGAGCCTTGTGAGCACTCACGGTTAGCTGCGCAGCGAGGGATCGCCATGGAGACTGAAGGACTGGCCAGACCCAGGCGAGGCTCCTTCACCGACGTGGGGCCAGCCAGGTAACCACCAGCCCCAGCCCTTAGGTGGGAAGGGGAGACCCAGGCAGAAGAAGGTGGGAACACCTCCAGGAACCATGCTGGGTGGGGCAGGGGGTGCAGATTTGGAGAAGCACAGCAGCCTGCCGTCCACCAGTGTATGATTACCTTCCTCTCAGGGCAGGCACTCTGAGCTCAGAGGAGTCTGAGAAAAAACTGCCTTGATCTGAGATGGCTTGCATAAAAACAAACACTGGAGTACTGGCGCACGGCTGGAAGAATTCAGAAAAAGCCAACCAGGGAAGGTGGGAAGACCCGGCCGGCATCCACACACAGCTGACATCGGGCTCGTTATCACCTCCACGATTTTTTGTTACCAGTGTCATAGTTTTACCTAGGCATGTGTTCATCTGCTCTGTTTAAGATTATCACCCCACATGTACTCAATTATTTATTCATCATGTTTTGCACGGTGGAGGATGCTACTCTGCCGTGATTTATTGAGCTGGGCATGTAAGTGATTTCCACTGTTGTTTTACTAACACGATGCTGTTGGAATTACGGCTCTTTGGTTGCCAGAGAGAGCATCTCTAAATGAGCTCCGGTTGACAGGACTGAGGCAGGGCTGCGGCCGGGCACAGGGACACGCTAACATCGCAGGCTTGTGGGAAGGGAGCTGTGGGGTGCAGGGGACGGGATGCGGGAGGCAGCGATCTGCCCCCTCATTTTCTCTTGGAGCTTCCTAAGTCTCTGGCTTTTCTGCGTGTCTCCCCGCTTCGGGCTTTCTCTGCTCTCACAGGTGTCAGCGGGCACAGGCTGAAATGGGTTCACCCTATCATCCTGGGTTGAAATATCCAACCCCATGGCTCCTAAGGGACTGCAGCAGGTCCGTTGTCAGCTCTGGGCCTGCTGGGTAGGCTGGAGCGGACAGAATGACCTTGGTTCTGCGGTCTGGGTAGAGAGAGGACGTGGGGAGCACGGGGCGTGAGCTCACAGGTTGGGTGGGGCAGGCACCTCAAAATGTCTGCGCAGCAGCTCACAGCAGAGCTGGGTGGGATGTTTTGTCTTCCCTCATTTTTATTGGTTATTGCATTTATTAGTGGGTTTCATTCTGGTAGCTTCGTGCATGCCCATAACATACTTTGATCATCTTCACCTCCCTCCCTCCCCACTAGTCCCACATTTTGGGGGTGGGGGGATTCAATGCATGTGTTTTGCCTCAGTGTCACCCTTTAGCTAAGGACACCAGCATGTGAGGAGGGGTAAGGTGTGTGACCGTTCTTGACTGAGTTCCAGATTGGCTGACTTTATGGGGAGCCCTATAGGTACCAAGCAAGGACAAGGTTGGGTCTCTCCCGTTCCCTCTGGCAGACAGGAGAGGCAGGTGTAAGGAGCCTCCAGGGAAGGACAGCTCCAGCTCAGATAAGTTCTGGGGACCGGGCCATGCTCTTTGGTTGTGGGGGAGGTCCCAGATAAGTTGCCAAGCAACTTCTATGCAAGCCTGGGGAGAGAACCGGGATTTGTGTAAGGAAAGCTTAATAGGACAAGAGTCTACTTTGTATGTGGATGTTTGCTCCTTTAAACTTCACTCTGAACGTGGCCACTTGAAAATGGTATTGTTTTATTGTTCCCAGGCTTAGTGCTCATAGCAAGGAAAGCCCAGAAGAGCTTGCTGCAGCCCCACTTGAGGATCAGGCCCTTGCAGAGTTAAAAGGACAAAGCTGTGATAAAAAGATAGTGTCCCTTACTGAGGAGGCAAGAGAAGGGGAAAAAAGGCCCCTACAGAGTGTGACACAAACCTGAGCCTCAGGCTCCCACCCTGAGCCCTGATGGTCACCTCTGCCTCTGCTGGCCTCTGGAGACCAGAGACAGGCTTTCCTGTCCTTCCTCCCCTGACCACTGCCGTCCATCACCCCCAGGTTGTCACGCCTCGTCATCTCCCTGCGCTCATGGGCCACCAGGCACTTCTACCACGAGGACCAGAGACCCAATGCTTTTCTGGAGCGTTTCCATGGAGCTGAGCTCCAGGAGGTGTCCTGCCGTAAAGACAATGCCCAGTCCAGTGTGGGCAGCCAGGAGTCGCCAGACAGAGGCAAAGGGTAAGGCAGCAGAGGGGAAAAGGGCCGCTGGCCCCAGCCATGGGGGCAGGAAGCTCTGCGTCACTGGTCCAGCTCAGATGCCCCTCTGTGGCCCCACAGCCACTCCTTGAAGAAGATCTGTCCTTGGGGTTCCTCACAGGCTGTGACATCTCCCACGCTGAGTCCAAGATGCCCCAAAAGAGAGGAGGCCTTCGAACCGGGTGCCAGGCTCATGTGACACTGACCCCTCCTGCGTGAGGTCTCCAAGCTCACTGGGGGGCGCTGCCAGCCCAGTCTCTCCACCAAGGGCCCCACAGCCACACTGCGCTGTGACCCGTCTTGTCAGAAAGCAGGGCCTTTTGCACCAAGAGTCTCAGGGGTACCTGAGTGGCACCCACACTTGCTGCACAAGTGTGCACGTGTTTTTCTGGAAAGAGGGTCCACAGGACCCTCATGAAATTATCCATGTCCTGTATCAGGGTAAGAACCCCTGGGTGGAGAAGGGATGGACAGGTGGGCAGGAGAGGGGGTGGGGGAGGATCCGCAGGGCAAAGTCCCCTGGGCCGCTTCTTGCATGGTCCACAGCCAGCTGCAAGATGCACCTGCCCCATGGGGTTAGTGCTCTGACATCCTCCTCCTCCTCTTCCTCTTCCCCTTCCCCTTCCTTTCCCTCCCCCCTCTCCCCCCTCTTCCTCCTTTTCCTCCTTCCCTCCTCCCCCTCCTCTTCCTCTTTGTTCTTTTCCTCCTCTCCTCCTTTTCTTTCTCTTTTCCCCCTTCCTCCTCCTCTTCCTCATGTACACACACGCACACGCACACTCACACACACAGCCTCCCAGCCTCTCTTGCTTTTGAGAAGACCCCCACCGGCTGAGGTGGGGGAGAGACCATGGGGCCACCCTGGGTTGACTCAGCTGCCACCAAGGTTGTGAAGGAGGAGAGAGGTCAGTCGTGCAGGGGACACAGGCTTACCCTGGCCTCACAAGCAGGTAGCTTCTTAAAGGAAATACAGGTTGGGAAGGCCTCTTTGGGGTGAAGTTTATGTGGTGGAAGCGTGACTATTGCAGAACGGGCGGCCACAGTGAGCTTGGCTGGAGAGAATGTCGTCTCTGCCTGTGTCAGAGAGGACAAGGGCTCGAGTCTGGGGCTCCTCAGTGGACACGTGGGGAGGTGATGATGAAAGCTCGGGGAGCGGACAGATCGCTCCAGAGCCCCTCCCCCCACTCTCCCACCACATCTCTGTCTGTGGGAGAGACAGGGCCAAGGTGACATCACGGGTCACGCAGTAGATGGGGAAATGTGTGAGCATTTGAAGATAAATCTGAGGGCCTGGGGTCATTTCTTGCTAAGGACGAGTGTAGGGGATTCACATTCAGTCTGCTCTACCCAGGAAAAATGGCAGAGTACTCAGCTAAGAGGCAAGGTTCCCAGTAGACTAGGACATAGTGCCTTGGGCTCCGCAGACTGCGGGAAGAAGACGGGAGGACCTGGGCCAGTGAGCGTGGTGTGGTCCCAGGTTCCCGGGTCCAGCACCCAGACCTCAGGGAGCTCCACTGGGACACGGCTGGCGTGCTGGCCACTGCTGAGACAGAAACACGGGTCAGGAGGAAGAGAAGGTGGGAAAGGGGAGGAGAAAGAGGTTTTTGAGCACGCAGCTAGACTGGTTCCATTTGTGTAGGGCAAAGGCTTCCTCAGCTTAATTGCTCACATGGGCTTCCTACAATCTTAGATTTATGGTGATACCTTCTTTATTCACTCGCCTGTGTGACCACATGGCCAGAGGGTCACGTTCGGGACAGGTTCTAACTACACTGCAGACAGCCCGGCCACTCACGGAAGGCTCTGATGGGTGGTCTGATGAATGAGATGTGCAGCTTGGTAGCTGATCAAGCGGGCAGGCTTCCTGGAGGAGGAGAAAGACTGGAATTTTTGGAGGCCAAGTCCCAGCGGCAAAACAAAGTGTACCTGGACACGGGTGTCAGTTCCCTGTGTGGGTTTGGCCTTGTGGAATTAAGACATAGGAATGTACATAGTCAGCTACGCCCCCTGTAGGAGGGATTTTAAAATGAGCAGAACCAACCCAGAAACGCACATATCTTGGGTGGGGAGAAGGGGTTGGGCAGGATGAGCAGAAATAGCCCAAACAGCACCAGCTGGAAGTCCTGCATCCTAAAAATCACCCACAGAGTCAGGTTGCAGTGTCCTCAGCCACTGGCTCTGATCCCCATGGTCCCTATGAGCCACCTGAGTGACATTGGGTGGACAAGCCACCCTCCGGCTCTGGAGGCACCTGGCTTACTGAAACCAGCAGTGTGGAGCCCTGCGATGGTCACAAAGACCTTCCCCGCTGAATGCAGGAGGAGCTGGGAGAGTTGGCTCCCGACATTCAGCCTGGGCAATGCCAGCCCCAACCCCAGCCGGTTCTCACGGGGCACCAGGGTTGGCAGGTCCCGGAGTTGTGCGATTCAGGAGGGGTGGGAGCTGGCGAGGGGGTGGGCAGGTAGATTAAAACCGGAAATGGAGTGGAATTTAACCAGAATGGAGTGGATGCTGGGTGGGATTGAATCCATTAGCTCTCAGTTGTTGAGTGGTTTCCTGAGCCCCGGTTCATCCTCTCTTCCTCCCAGACTTTCCCCAGGGCCCACCCTTCCCAGAAAGTCTTTGTCCCTGAGGTAACACTGCAGGTGTTGGCTGGGAGCTGGCGGAGGGGTCCTGGGATGATCCCCTGGGGAGGAGGTCCTGAGGAACTGATGACTCCCACGCCGCTTTCTCTCTGCCCCCGCAGCGCCTGGCCCCTGGCCAGAAACAATACTAACGCCTGCAACAACAAGGAAGAGTAAGTAGGAGCTCCGCAGCCCGCTCCTTCCATCCCAGGTCACCTTCTCCCTGCAGGATCCACTTTACCTCCTCCCTTAGGTCCTCTCGCTTCCCACCCGCCCCAAGTAGCAGTAGACCTTTCCAGACTCCTGTCCCTTTCATTGAAAATCCCCCCCTTCCTCAAGGATACACAGGGGAGGGGACCAGGTCTGCATGGCTTCTTGGGGACGGTCACTTCTCTTTTGACGCATGTTTCTCATCTGTAAAGCAAAAGGGCCTCGGCAGATAAACGCTTTAAGCTTTATTCATCATCCTGAGTCCGTGTGTATCAGAGGATGCCAACCTAGAGCCCCTGTGCACAGCAGCGGATGAACTGCCATCCACCTCCGCAAGCTCTGGGGTGCCAGGGAAGGCCCTTGTCCTGGGGCCAACGAGGGCCAACTTAGAGGGCATCGCCAGGGCAGTGGAAAGAGGAAATGTAAATATTTCCAGAAAGCAGGAAGGGCTGCCCCGCTGCGGTTACTTCCTGTCACCAATGCCGAGCTGGCTGACGGGTGTAACGTGGTTCTCACAAGTGCTGCCCAAGAGCTCGGCGTGCGTGAGTGCACGCGTGCGAGGTGGTCCTGGTGCATTGGTGGGTGTGCACAGCCGCACACTTCTCTGCAGAAGACTGTAGGGAGCAAGAGGAGTCTTCCCTGGAGGCTAGAGGAAAACCATTCACATCAGCAAGACATGCCAGTTTCCTGACTTCCGGCTGACAGAAGAATATGCCCAGGCCTTTTCTTATTTCCCTTTTTGTACCCCAGAACATTTTTCTTTTTCCTGCCAAAAAGGAAGTGTGTATTTTGTGTGCATAAATTCAGACATCGAATCCAGAAAGTCAAATGCTATCAGTCAAGAAACATGTTTCATCTACAAAACAACAGCAACTGTGATATGCGCTTGATTTAAGGCCAGCCTGACAGGAGCCATCCTTGAAGGCTAGGTATTGAGTCTCCTGGCCAGGACAAGACTCTGGGGACTAGAAATGCAGGCAGAGGTCTCTGGGCTGCTTTGTCCTCAGCTGGGACGTGGGCAAGGACGTGGGCGGGTAGTGCTGGCTGCCCCAGGCACGTAAAGCTTTCCAGAGGGGCTCAGGTCAAGGTCCACACACCGACCAAGGGACAAAATTGGGGACTGCCCCAACATGGAGCGACCTGGGTGCAGAAGATAGGGAAAATAACCCTCTGTGGACATCTTCCTCTACTCTTGTACCCCATTTCCGGCATTTTTACTTAGTTCCTTTGGTCCTGAATAACTTCTCTCTTCTTGATCAACCAGTTCCCAACCAAAACCAACATCACCTCGCAGCTCTGTGCAGAGTCTTTCCAGCAGATCTAGGTGGATTCAGGGACGCAGCTAGACGGTGCTGTTTTTTCCTCAGCCTTCAGCACTTTGGTAGCCTTAGGAACAGCCCAAACCCAGGACCATAACGCCTTGATAGAGCGAGCAAGCCCGGGTGTAATTAAACTCTATAGGGCTTAGTGCGCCCGGTAAGCTTGTAGGCGGCGCCCTCTTCTGGTCGCTTGACAGTATGACACAGGTGGCCTGGTCCTGCGCTGTAAATTCAAGAGGACAGGGCATGGATGGGTGGCTGTCCTTGTTTTTCTCAGTTAACAATCTGATTAACATCTTATTCCTCTCCGCTGTCAAAAGACAAAATCCCAACAGAATTAAAGTCTATTGTTCTAGTTACTGGACCCTGTGAATCAGCTACCTTATGTGAGAAAGGAGACTTCAAACCCGGGATGGGTAGCTATCCCGGCTCATCAGGGTGGGCCCAGGGTAATGCCATACATGCATCCTTAAAGCAAATGGTGGTGGAGGAGGAGGAGAGGAGATTCATAGTGTATGGGGGGCTTGACCATCATTACTTTGAAGTAATGACCGTCATAGCTTTGAAGATGGAGAAAGAGTGACGAACCAAGAAGCCCTGCAGCACAGGAAAGCTAGGAAGAGCCCTCGCTTTACAGACTCCAGGAAGACAGGGACCTCAGTCCTACAACGACCAGGAGCTGAACTCTGCCAATAACCCAAATGGGCAGGGAACATATTCTCCGCTAAGGCCTCCGGAAAGGGTCACAGTTCTGCTTGATTTGAGGTGAGACCCATCCTGGACTTCTGACCTGAAGGTCTGCAGAAGAATGGACTTCTAAGCCAGTGAATTTGTGATCAATTGTTTTGGCAGCAACAGAAAGCAAACTCAGCTATGACTAGAAACTCTTTCGGATACCTCTTTTGAACTTGGAGAATATTAGGAACCATCTTCCCATGTTACTGTTTCCAGCATGGTTTGAAGTGGCCTGGCAGAATTCTGTCATTTGTGATAGAGCTTCTGCAGTCACAGGACTACCTTGCTTACCCTTTCTGATTATTGTGAAGAACGCTGGTGATTGTTCTTCTCCATTCATGTCTGCACAAGCATTCTTTCCTTAGAAACTGCTAGGTAAAACATCCCGATATTTTTCAATAATCATTTAGTGAGTAGACATTTTCTTCTCAACCTCCAGAGTATGGGAAACTGAAGTCAGAGAGGCCCAAGGGTGATTCCAGTGGGTTCCCCACTTGACAAGCAGAATCTTTTACCTTTCACCTCGGTTTCCTCAACAGTTCAATGGGTCAACAATGCCCGCCTCACTGAGCTTTTATACTTGTTAGCTAAATAAACTTTTAACAATACCTAACTCTTCAAAGGCACCCAGTAAAGAAAAGGAAGCAGAGGAAAGCTTCCTGAAGAGGTACCGATGTGAGCAGAGCCATCCTGCACACCTGGGTGGGCAACTTCACAGCCAGCAGTGTCTGAGCATGCATCTGAGCACAGCCTCCTCTGCAGGCTGTGATGACTCAGATTTGCAGCTAAAGATGCTCTTCGACTTACAGTGGGTCTCTGTCCTGGTACAACATTTTGAGTTGGAAATGCCATAAATTTAAAAAAAAAAATGCATGGAGTACAGGAGCCTACCAAATGCCGTAACTCAGTCTAGCCTGCCACAGAAGTGTTCAGAACACTTATATCAGCCACAGCTGGGCAAGATCCTCCAATGCAAAGTCTACATTCTATACAACAACGTAGTGATTGCCACTGCTGCCCAGGGCAGAGGGAATTGGGTGGCATATTGCTAACCTGGAAAAGGGTCCAAATTAAAAATCCAAGGTCAGGTACCTACGGAATGCATGTCACTTTCCCACCATTGTAAGGTTAAAAAAAAATGTTCTAAGTCAAACCATCTTAGTCAGGGATCTTCTGTGTGTGTTACAAACCTGCCCCTGTTTGTGAATTTTGCTTCTCTCCTGCTCAGTGGCTTTTTCAAGACTTGGGTCTTTGTTTGATCCAGAGAAGGTTTTGAGAACAACCTATAAGTCATAAGAACAAAGAGTTTGACCTGTGATTTCCAAAAGCCCATGTGCAGATTTGGGTTTACTACTTGCTACCACCAAATGTCTCTGATCTCAGGCTGTTCGTGATCGTCCAAGAGCTCATGAAAACGATCAGAAATTATAGAGCAAGAGGCTGAACCACTCATTTCTCAATATGGAATGGGTAGCAATAATGAAATCAGTAACCTCATTTCAGCATAAATGTAGTGAACAAGGTGGACAGGGTTCCCAAGGGTGTACTCCAGAGTGTCCATGGCCAGCTGAGAGGAACCGCTTCAGAAACATGGGGACTGTGCTTAGACGCACCTTCCCAGCCCTCGCTCCTCCTGGGTGGGCCCTGGGAGTCAGCACTTTCGCAGAGCTCCCCCAGCTGGTTCCATTGTTCCCTCAGCACCCCTCAGTGATACTGCTGCATGGCATCTTCATGCCCACCATCAAGAAGGATGAGGATGTTGCCACAGGGCACACGGGAATGTCATTGCCATGACTTCGTGACTTCTGGGGGTGTGGAGCTGGGAGGGGAGGACCTCTGGAATCCACCCTGGCTCCATTCAGGGATGCCCCCGAGGGACCCCTGAGACTGGAAGGACCCTGTTGTGGGCAGCCACTTCTCAGGGGTCCACCTGAAATTGCCCTCGGGTCGCTAAGCGAATGCAGGTCTGTAAAACTTGCAAAGCCATAGGCTTTCCATACCCCGCACTGTCTGTGTATGTCTGGTTTCCAGAAAGAAGAAGGACGCCATGGTGGTGGACCCCTCCAGCAACCTCTACTACCGCTGGCTGATGGTCATCGCGCTCCCAGTCTTCTATAACTGGTGTCTGCTGGTGTGCAGGTGGCGTAGGGCTGGGCTGGAGGGGCTGGGGCAGGGACGGCTGGGGCAGGGACAGCGGGGCCCAGAAGCTGGAGCTCTGAGTCCCCACATAGCCACCCTACAGCTCTGGTGCCTCAGTTTCCCCATCTGTAAAAACACCAGGGGATCCCCCAAAAGAACTCTTTGGGTGCTATGAGCCCTTGGAGGGGAGCTGGGCTCGAGCTAGAGGGCGGGGGTTCTGGTGCTTTGTGTCCTCCATGTGTCATCTACACGGGGGACAGGTGGGCGGCTGCTCTTAGGAGGGAAGGGCGGGCCTAGGAATCAGTATTTCGGCAGCAACGCCTGGGGCATGTCTGAGCATGTGCAGCGGGGGCGGGGGAGGGGACTGTCCTCTGAGCGGAAGCTTGGGTGCTGGGGCTTTTCTAAGCGGGCTGCAACTCTCTGGGGGTAGCTGTGGATGCTGCTGAGGGTATTCCTAGGCGCGTGCACTGCCGGGATTTAGAGGAGGCAGTTGTTTCTCTGAAGACCTGCGGGGGCTGCAGAACTGTCCCACACGAGCTGCAGGTGGGAAGCGCGGCGAGGGTGAGCAGCTGCTGTCCCAAAAGCATGAGTAGGGTCAGGGCCTTTCCTGGGAAGCCGGCTGTTTGGGAATGCGGGGCCCCATGCTCCTGCTCTGAGGGAAAGCGGGGCCTGGGGCTTTCCTGTGCCAACCTACAGTGTGGGGCCACCAGGGGGAGCCGCGCTCTTCCAAGGGCCAAGTGGGGCTTTGGGAGCCTTCCTGAGCAGGCCTCAGTCAAGGGCACACGGCAAGTGCTCTTCGGGGGCTGCAGGGCCTCCACCATTCCTGGCAAGTCCGAGGGTTCAGCTGCTGCTCCGGAGTTAAGCAAGGGGCCGGGGGCCCTCCCAGCAGGCCCACAGGACAAGGGTGCAGAGGCAGGCTCGGAGCTTCTGAGAGCAAATGGGCTTGGGGTCTCCTAAACATTCCCCAGGACTGAACTGACATAGCTCTGAGGGTGACATAGCGCTGTCAGGTGTCTTCCTGAGCTGCTGTGCAAGACTGAGATGCAAGGGCGACCCCATCTCTTGAGAGTGGAGAGTGGGCTTTGGGATACTTTCTGAGCAGCTGGGCAGGATGGACAGTCACGGCCCCAGCGGGTGTGCGGTGAATCAGGGGGAGCATCCCTGACTGTGCCACGTGGCAGGCATGCAGAGGAGCCCTGGTGCTACCTTCGTCAGTCACTTTTACATCCCTGTGGTGACAAAATACTTGAGCTGAACAACTCGAAAGAGGGAACGTTTTACTTTGGCTTATGGTTCAGACGTCTCAGTGCATGGTCGGCTGGCTCCATTGCTTTGGGCCTGTGGAGCGGGAGAGCATCAGGATGGCAGCAAAGCTGCTCCCTGGGGTCTTGTAGTTCACTGGTCACCTTTAGGGACAGCCCCAGCTGTGCTTAGGGGCTGCAGACTGCCTTAGTTCCTTTCCCATCACTGGGACAAACCTCTGACTCCCACAACTTGAAGGAGAGGTTAGTTTAGCTCAGGTTGTCAGTCCATAGGCAGCTGGTGCCGAGGCAGGAAGGGCCTGGTGGAAGGGTCTGGCGTAGGGAGGCTGCTCACGTCATGGCGACCAGGAAGCAGAGAGCGAAGGGAAGAGCCAGGAAGGAAGATAGACCCTTCCAGGTCATGCCCCCAGTGACCACCTCTAAGCCATCGCAGTGACCACGGGGCACAATGGCTCCTCAGAGCCTGGGTCTCTTCCTCAGAATCCTGGGTGACACTGCACAGGCAGGGCTGTTATCGTGTGAAAGGAGCCAGGCATGTGGGGCAAAGCTGGTGCCCACCTGTGCTGGAACCGCGGCCCTGCCCCTCGTGCCTCACGCCCGGCTTGTTTAGGGCCTGCTTTGATGAGCTTCAGTCTGAGAACCTGACGCTGTGGCTGACCCTGGACTACTCGGCAGATGTCCTCTACGGCTTGGACATGCTGGTGCGAGCCCGGACAGGTGAGTGTGCCCCAGGATGAGGACTTTGCTGCCAGGACACAGGGCCTCAGTGGGGGGACCATGAGGACCACAGGAAGTGCCCAAGGAGGTCCAGAATGGCTGGTCGGATGCTATCTACCCTTGACCGTGAGAGTCCAGGCAGGGGCTGAGGATGCTCCAACCAAAGGGTGAGTGCTGTTATCTCAGCCCCCCAGCAACAAACCCTTGGACAGGACCCTGAGCAGGGGTCAGGACGCCTGGGCTTGGGGCTCTGCGCTCCCAGTGAGCTCAGTGGCCTTGAGAAATCGAACTGTCCTAGTTTCTTTCTCATCGGAGACACAATACCTGACACCCACCAGTTAAAGGAGGAGAGGTTTCTTGGGCTCACAGTCTGTAGAGGTTCAGTCCACAGGCCCCTGGCTCCAAGGCAGGGCAGCGGGGCAGAGGGGTGTGGCAGGAGAGTGTTGCTCAGGAAGCAGAGAGAGAAGGGAGGAGCCGGAAAAGGAAACCCGTCCAGACCACACCCCGTGACCCACCTCTTCCAACCAGACCCCACCTCCCAGCAGCAAGTCCGCTACAAACTCATCTGCGGGCACCTCTATCTAATTTGCACAGAAATATCACCTCAGCAGGTGGAGGCCCTACTTGTCTTTTCCCAGTTCCTTAAACCAGAAACTGCGATGCTTCTCATCACAGCCACAGACCTCGTCAGGGCTTCACGGTGCACACGGCACCTCAGCCGGGTCTTGCAGGCTTATGAGAACTGCCGCAGGAGCCAGGCGTGGTGATGCACACATGCGATCCCAGCTACTTGGGAAGCTGAGGCAGGAAGATCACAAATTCAAGCCCAGCCTGGGCAACTTGGAAAGACCCTGTCTCAAAACAAAATTTAAAAACTGCTGGGGATACAGCTCAGAGGTAGAGCACTTGCCTAGCCTACATGGGGCCCTGGGTTCAATCCCCAACACCAGAAAAAAAAATAAAAAAGAACTGTTGCACGAGGCAAAGAGTGCAGGCATGGTCGCCTCCATCTTACTGATTAGGAAACCTAGGCCACAGATCCCATGATTTGCCTGAAGTCTACATTTACTGCACAGCCATGCTGGACTGCTGCCTCTGCTTCCACAGGGGTGCCCGACACGAGGCTTCCAGCACAGGGCCTGAGGTGCACAGGGGCGACTGCCTGCCCTGAGATGACCTCTGCTGTAGCACAAGTCGACGTGAGAGTGAGGGGCCTGCCGGGCTGGCTGTCCCTCATGGAGCCGTGCTTGGGCGGGGCAGGACCCCAGCTCTCAGATGCTGACTCCACACTTTCCTGTGCTTGACATTCCCCTTGGTAACCTCAGATTCAACGGGAAGGTAGGGAAGTGGGGGCACGTTAACCAAGCTGCCACTGGACCATAGTCCATGGAAACAGAGCTTCAGAATTGAGAGAGGAATCTTTTTTTTTTTTTTTTGGTCTTTTTGAGACAGGGTCTCACTATGCAGTTCAGGCTGGCCTTGAGCTCACTTTGTAGCCCAGGCTGATCTCAAACTTGCAATGGTCCTCCTGCCTCAGCCTCCTGAGTGCTGGGATTACAGGTGTGTGCCACTATGCCCATCGGTGAGAGAGAAATCTTAAAGAACTGGCAAGGAGTCCCAAGACACAAGGAGTGTTCCATGGCCAACTATATGCTTCAAGACACATGTACAGTTGGCCCTCTGTGACTGCAGACTACATTCACAGATCCAACCACTGTGAATTAAAACTACTTGGAAAAAAAATTGTGCCTGTACCAAACATGTAAAAGCTTTTTTCGTATTATTCCAAACATAGCACAATTTACATAGCACTTACATTGTATTGGTATTATAAGTAACTTAGAGATCATTTAAAGTATACAAGAAGGCTGAGACAGGAAGATCTCAAGTTTGAACCTAGCCTGGGTACTTTAGAGATTTCACAAGAGTCTGTCTCACAATAAAAAATTTTTTAAAGGAGAGGGATGCAACTCAGTGTAAAGGCCCTGGGTTCAACCCCCAGTAACATTAAAAAAAAAAATGTATGTGCCAGGATGTGCATAGCTTAGAAGCAAATACTATGCTATTGTATATAAAATATTAAAATTGTGCCTGTACCAAACATGTAAACTTAAACTCCTGAGGATTTTATGTAGTCCCCAGGGCTATAAAAGCATAAAAGGTGCCTGCAGGTGAGTTCATAGCAGACTTAAACTCCTGAGGATTTGAGGGGGAGCCTGAAACCAACCCCCCCACAGATACCAAAGAACAATTGTCTAACCAAAGAACAACATGAGGAATGGGGGCTGGAAGCGGGGTGTCCCTTACACTGCATGTGCCAACACACTTGACTTTCCGTTTTGACCAAAGGGGCGGGCCTACCCAGGGGTGGCCCTAGACAGGGGCCAGCATCACCACAACTTGTTACACCCACCCCAGACCTCTGGGTTCAAGCTATGGGTGCAGGTCCATCACATTTTCAAGCAAATCCCAGGCAGTGAGTATGCTAGAATGTATCTCTTAACTTTAAAAAGCCTCTTTTAGAGGTTGGGGATTTAGCTCAGTGGCAAAAGCGCCTGCCTGGCAAGCGCAAGGTCGTGAGTTCAGTTCCCGGTACCGAAGAAAAACCAAAAAAAAAAAAAAAGAATAAATAAATAAAAGGCCTCTTTTAATAAATAAATACATATATGTAAAATTTCCATTTATCTTTTCAAATGTAATACTCCTTATTTGCTGTCATCTAATTCCGAACCTATTTTCAAAGTCACCCACCCACTTGGTCTATCTTTTGAAAGAGTAACTAGAGGAGAAATTCATAGAAGGAAAAACATCAGAGTGATTTCCCTGCAGGAATGGTGCAGTTTTTTGAAACTCTTTCCATTCATATGTGTCCTTGTGTGTTGTGTATCAGGATATAAAGTGTCTTTCTCTGGCCATAGTCAAAAACAGGCTCTCTGATGCCCTCCGGCCTTCTCCTTCATTAGGTTTCCTTGAACAAGGCTTAATGGTCCGGGATGTGAAGAGACTGTGGAAACATTACACAAAGACTTTGCACTTCAAGCTGGACGTGTTGTCCCTGGTCCCCACGGACCTGGCTTATCTAAAGTTGGGTGTGAACTACCCAGAACTGAGATTCAACCGCCTACTGAAGTTTTCCCGGCTCTTCGAGTTCTTTGACCGTACAGAGACGAGGACCAATTACCCCAATATGTTCAGGATTGGGAACTTGGTCCTGTACATCCTCATCATCATCCACTGGAACGCCTGCATCTACTTTGCCATTTCCAAGTTCATTGGTTTTGGGACAGACTCCTGGGTCTACCCAAACATCTCCAAACCCGAGTATGGGCGCCTCTCCAGGAAGTACATTTACAGTCTCTACTGGTCCACCTTGACCCTGACCACCATTGGTGAGACCCCACCCCCTGTGAAAGACGAAGAGTACCTCTTTGTGGTCATAGACTTCTTAGTGGGCGTCCTGATCTTTGCCACCATCGTGGGCAACGTGGGCTCCATGATCTCCAACATGAATGCTTCGAGGACCGAGTTCCAGGCTAGAATCGACTCCATCAAGCAGTACATGCAGTTCCGCAAGGTGACCAAGGACTTGGAGACGCGGGTTATCCGGTGGTTTGACTACCTGTGGGCCAACAGGAAGACAGTGGATGAGAAGGAGGTGCTCAAGAGCCTCCCGGACAAGCTGAAGGCTGAAATCGCCATCAACGTGCACCTGGACACCCTGAGGAAGGTGCGCATCTTCCAGGACTGCGAGGCGGGGCTGCTGGTGGAGCTGGTGCTCAAGCTGCGGCCCACCGTGTTCAGCCCTGGGGACTACATCTGCAAGAAGGGGGACATCGGGAAGGAGATGTACATCATCAAGGAGGGCAAGCTGGCCGTGGTGGCGGACGACGGGGTCACCGAGTTTGTGGTCCTCGGCGACGGCAGTTACTTTGGGGAGATCAGCATCTTAAACATCAAGGGGAGCAAGTCAGGCAACCGCAGGACCGCCAACATCAGGAGCATCGGCTACTCGGACCTGTTCTGCCTTTCCAAGGACGACCTGATGGAGGCGCTCACCGAATACCCCGAGGCCAAGAAGGCCCTGGAGGAGAAGGGCCGGCAGATCTTGATGAAGGACAATCTCATCGACGAGGACCTGGTCAAGGCCGGGCCAGATCCTAAGGACATCGAGGAGAAGGTGGAGCACCTGGAGTCCTCCCTGGACGCCCTGCAGACCAGGTTTGCGCGGCTGCTTGCGGAGTACAGCTCTGCGCAGATGAAGGTGAAGCAGCGCCTCAGCCAGCTGGAGAGCCAGGCGAAGGTCTGCGGGAGCGGCCTGGCCACCGCTGGGGCCCCCAGGGGTGCCGCCGAAACAGAGGACGAGCAACAGTGAAGATGGAGGTGCCTGTCGCCTGCTCCTGCTTCGCACGGCCAGCTTTCCGGGCGGTCCCACTGTGTGGGGCCTTGTGGCACAGGTCCTTCGCAAGCTGTGGGACTGCTGGAGGCGGCCCAGTCTCCTCAGCTAGAAAACAGGACTCATGACGCTGGCCCCACGGAAGTGCCAGCTTATTTTGTTGCTTTGATTTTTTTTAAATGGCGATTGTCATATATATGTCACTTGCAGATATTTCTCTCTCTCTCTCTCTCTCTCTCTCTCTTTCTCTTTCTCTCTTCTTTTCTTGTACTGGGGATTGAACCCAGGCCTTCACAATAAGCTGCATCTCCAGCTCATCTTTTAGTTTTTATTCTTAGGTTCTCACTAATTGCCCATTCTGGACTCAAACTTGCAATCCTCCTGCCTCAGCCTCTCAGAGTGCGGGGGTTACAGGTATGCACCACACGGTTACAGGCCTGGGTAGTAGCAGTTTATTGTGAGGTCCACATTAAATGCTGCATGAGGCAGAGCATGGGAAAGTGTGAAGTATATGGGGAGAGGACTCTGATTTGGGGGATTTTTTTGAGACAGAGTCTTGCTATGTTGCTCAGGCTGATCGCAAACTCCTGGCCTCAGGTGATCCTAAGGAGCTGGAACTACAGGTGTGCACCATTGCAGCCAGACCAGTTTTTTAATGGAAAAAGGAGGAGATTGTCAGGCTTTTTAGCCTAGCTCTCTTATAAATAGAAAAATATTGCCACCCTTTCCTCTCCCCTCCTCAACCTCACTCCACCACCCTCTGATTATGAAAGTACAACAGGAAGCCGAGAGAACAGTGTAGTAACTCACATTCACCCTTATGCAAGACAGGCGGGGGCACATCTCGGAGTCAGGCAGCTTCCCTGTGCGCTCTGGGACCCCAGGACCCTGAGCCTTCAGTAGCGCTGTGGCAGATAGTGTGGGACGAAGAGAAGCCACCCCGCAGCCCTTCAAGTCGGTGATGCCAATCTAGACTCCCTGCCCTTGAGCTCCTGAGACAGCACCACCCACTTCATAGAACAAAGCCACTGAGTTAGGAAAGGGACAGCGGGACTCAAAGCAACCTCTGTCCCCCTCCCAGAGTCCAAACCGTAGGAGAGGAGGTGCTGCTGGCTGTTACAGATCATTGGGGATTTGGACACTGTGCAGAGGGGCGTTGCCTAGGGAGACTGCTCCTGGGCATCCCTAAAGGAGGCTAGACCCACACCCTGGGGTGACCTATTCTAGCTCAAGGAGAGCTGTGTTCAAGGACAGCCTTGTAGGCTGGAAATCAGAAGGGTGTCCTAGGTCACTAAGATGGCTGACAACTAGGACTTCTCAAAGATAAAAGCCATAGGTTAGATCTTTGCAAATTGTCCCTTCGTTCTTTTAGAACCATGTTTTTTTTGACACAGGATTTTACTATTTTATGACATTTATATATTTGGGTTCTATCTTTGCAAATTATGACCTCAGTGTTCCAATCTTCACTTAAATACATGTTGCAAATTGCACAAAGATGAGTCGTTTTCTTTTCCTTCTTATTTCTCTCCTTCCCTCCCTTCTTCCCTTCCCCCTTCCCTCTCCTCCCCTCTACCTGCTTCCCTCTTCCTTCTCCCTTCTTCTCATCAGACAAAATACCCCACTTTGCTTTTGAAGTCTGTAGTCTGATGTTATAATCCATATGCTACATGTTTCACATGCCTGTAATCCCAGCACTAGGGAGGCTGAGGCCGGAGGATCATTCTGAGTTTGAGACCAGCCTGGGCTACAAGGTGAGCTCAAGGCCAGCCTGAACTGCATATCGAGACCCTGTCTCAAAAAAACAAAAAAAAAAAAATACATATGCTACATGTTTGAGCCCTGATGTAGTTTGTACAAGAGGTACTGCCATTTCAATTGTGTATTTTGGATTTATGTAGGTCTCAGAGTTCATCTGACCATCTATGGTGGGTCGCTGTACCATTTTACCTTTTTAAAATGGATTAGAGGGTCTATCAAGTCATATCAAGTCATAGTCCAAGCCTATATTATGAGCAGAATATAGCTGGCAATGTTTCCTCAAAATGCATATATTTTGAAGCCTTAACTATTAATGATGCCTGGATTCGTATTTGCACAGGATTAAGACCTGGATTAAAAACTCTTAATCATTCCTGGTTTGGCTTTTGTCATGAGGGAAGATTCAGCCCCAGAACACGTTTCTAGGGCAATGGTTTCCCCAGAAAGAACAGGTGCTGATGAGCCAGGGAAGGTACATACTCCACAGGAGGAGACACACAGCCGGAAGTAGGTGAGACTGCGCGCTCGTGTACACCCAGAGACATGTAGGCATGTTTCTGTCTTTTTTTCTTTTTTGAGACAGGGTCTCACTATGCAGTTCAGGCTGGCCTTGAGCTCACTTTGTACCCCAGGCTGGTCTCGAACTCACAACGATTGTCCTGCCTCAGCCTCATGTAGGCGTTTCTGCAAAATTGTTTTTAACATCCAAAAGAAGAACCTTAATAGCAGAATCCAGGCACAAAGAGAAAATAAAAAACATGCTGGGTATTCCGCCAAAGAGAATTTACCAGAGGGACTTAACCATGTCAGTGGTGGACGGATGAATGAGCAGCAAAGGAAGCTCGGGTTATGCAGGGAGGATGAGTGCAAGAAGTACTCACCATCTCCCCTGAAAACTGAGGAACAAGGTACTTGGAGGAGCACCCCAAGAGCTGGACCCCAGACCATGGAGACCGAGGTGTGACTGGCTGTTACTGATAATTCAGGAACTCAGAGAGGTGAGTGAAGGTAGGAATTTGGACACTATCTGAGGAAGTGCCCTGCATGGTGACAGTGGTCCTTGAGGTCCCCAAAGGAGGCTGGAACCTGCTGTCACTGTGCCGTCCGTCCCTCTGCCTTCCACCTACCTTGCAGCCTCCTCCAGTTGGTTCCTGGTTGCCAGTCCTGCCAGGACCTTGAATTTGACCATCAGAATACCTTCCATCATCTGTGTACCTGGAACAGATGGTGGAGATCAGTTGTCCTTAATAAATGTCCCTCTCTCCGGTGACTGATCCCTGACACTGCTTCATCAAGGCTTCTTTCTTTTGTCTTGAGGATTTTTCCATAAGAGAAAGCAGAAATCCCCGAGAAAAGACAGGACAGGGAGAAGGGAAGGGAGCATTTATTAGGCACTTCCTGTATGCTAGGCACTGTTCTTCATGCAAAAATGTAAATTTCCCCAGCCGGTCACTACATCTATTGAAAGAACCCATCAACTGTCCTCAGGCACATGTTCTTTGAACATTGTTATTAACGTCATAGATTGCAACTGATTCATGCGAAAAGATCTTGTTGACAGGAAATCCTGGAAGAGGTGACGCTGTAAGGGTGAAAAGCAGCTCAGTGACTGGGAGAGGGTGCGTGGTGGATTACAAAGGGGAAATGCAAGTTTTTAGGGGGATGGGATTGGTTTTATGGAACTAGGAGAGTGGATACATGGCTCTATCCGTTTGTCCAATCTCGTAGAACTATACATCATAAAAAGTAAACTTTAGTAAAGGCAAATTTAAAGATGCCAACCAGGATGTAGGACAATCCCAGGATGGAAAGACGATTTTGATGAAAGAATCTAACAATTACAAATAATAGTATAACCCAGTGGTGGCGAACCTATGGCACGTGTGCCGCAGCCAGCTATTTGTTATCACTGAAAGCTCTAGAAGGTTTGCCATCACTGATATCACCTCACTGGAGGATGCTGGGTAAAATTATGGCCTGACTTTTATAAATGGTGCTTTGGAAAGCAAGGTTGGAGGCAAATGTGCAATTACCAAAGAGCACTGTACTCAAGCTGCAAACGTGTTTTACTTGGAAATATGAACTGTCAAGTTTGAAATGACACACACACTGTGAATGGATGGGTACAGTGGGAGCCAGGTTTGTGACAATCAGAGAAAGAAGTTCCAGCTGAGGGGATGGGACCAGGATGAACCGTATGGTCTTAGACTGGAATCAGGGGAACTTGTGTTTGTTTACATAAACAGCCTCTTCTGGAGGACACTGCCCTTCCCTCTCCACCATGCAGAGGCAGCTTTGGGGGCCATGCTTGCCCCAACATGATGCCCCTTCACCAGCCTGGTTGAGTCACAGGTGGACACTGCACCCAAGGGCACTGACCTGCGTGCAGCCTTCGTCTGTGAGAATGACCAGCTGGACCGATCAGATCCATGCCCTCAAGGATTTGAAACAAAAATTGGAAGGCCCTCAGCAGTGGGAACTGAACGCAGGAGACACTCTGGGTAATTGTGGGCTAGGGACAGGGGCACCAGCAATAGCGCAGCACAGGGTCACTACGGCGAAGCCGAGCAGCTCCAGGTGCAAGAGGCGGCGGACTCCATGGTGAACAGTGTGGAGAGAGAGAACACTTGGGAGATGCAAGGTCTCGTGTTCCGGTGCAATGCTGACTGCCATGAAGAAATCCATGCAGCAGGTGCGCCAGTGCATTGAGCTCTGCCACGCACCAGGCCTGGGCCTTGGTAACCGATGAGCTGGAAAAGTTCCAGGGACGCCTGGCCCAGTGCGTGATGCAATCCAGCAATAAAGCCAAAGATCTGATGGATTCAGGGAATAAGGAGCTTCAGGCTGACACCTGGAGAGCTATGTGATCAACAGTATGGTGACCGCGTGAACCTCATTCCAGCCATGACAGAGGGTGGAGTCTCTCTTGTCCCTTGGGAAATGAAAGTCTTTGCCAGCGGCCACTGGGACTGAGGGCAGGAATCTATTTAAAAAGAAAAATGGGAGTCTTAGTCTTTTAAGTAAAACTATGAAGAAGAAGCTAAGGATAATAGCAAGTTTGGGTCAAAGACAGCACGGGGCCAGAGGAAGGGCAGGAATATAGCTCAGTGGCACAGCGCCTGCCTGCCTAGCAAGCGTGAGGTAGGGAGTTCAATTCCTAGTACCAAAAAAAAAATTATAAAAGATAGCACAAGAGAGTGGGTTAGAGTCTAAAGTTCACGTGGCAAGACCTTATCCTGGCAGTAGAGATCTCCCTCATACCAACTGAGAGCCCTCCAAGGTCCTAATACAGATACCAGCAGGTTGACAGTTTCCTTCAAGCTGCCTATGACCTGGTGGTGTAGCTGTGTCTACAATCCCAGTATTTGGAAAGCTGAGGTAGGAGAATTACCATGAGTTCGAGGCCAGCCTAGGCTACAGTGAGCTCAAGGCCAGCACAAATTACATTCCAAGAGCCCGTCTCAAAA